GGGAAGGAATGGTATTGGAAGCCAATATGAATGAAAGTGTCACACAAATTGATGCACAAAATGGCAAAATCTGAGACTAGCTTGGCAGAAGCTTGATACCTCAAGCTGTATCAGCTGTAAAGAATACAAATCCTCCCAGCCAGCATGCCTATAATCCCAGCACTTGGGAGGCTGAGGCAGGAGGATAACCATCAGTTTGAGGCAGTTTAGGCTACATAGTGAGTTCAAAGCTAGCCTGAACTACCCAGCAAGACCTTGTCTCAAAAAAAGAAGACTGGGGCTGGAGAGATGGCTCAGTAGAATAAGCACTTCCCTGGCAAGTGCAAGGGCCTGAGTTCAATTCCCAGTTCCACCAAAAAAAACAAAAAACAAAAAAAAAAGAAGACTCTTCCTAAAATCCCAAGAAATAATTAAAGAACTGAATTGTAGATTTCTTTTTTGGTTGGGTCCCTTTCTGGTTTTGGAATAAATGTAATGCTGGCTTCCATGAATGACTGCTTTCCTTTCAATTTCATTAAAGAGTATGAGGATTATTGGCTATCACGGTATTTCAAAGTGAGGAATTTCTTAAATTATGTATAACCTGAAATGTTTATGTTTTGTATGGATCACAAGTACAATATTCTTTAATTCTTTCTGCTATTTGCGACAATAAAAGGACCAAGTATGTACTGCATGAAAACATTATCACAGTTTCCTCTTAGTTTAAATGAACTCAAGTTAGCGGCCAGCAAGATAGCTCAGCAAGCTTAGGCAGGCACAGGGGTCCTCGGTTTGATCCCTGGCACCACATGCCATGCCAGCCCTGCCCTCAGGGTGGGCTGAGCTGGCCAACAAATAAGTAAATAAATAAATAAATAAATAAATCTTAAGTTAACTAGATTTCCAAAGCACCTTTCTGTTTGCTTGGTATCTATTTTAGCAATACTTTTAGATGATTCTCTAACTCAAAAAAATAAACAAAGGTACATTTTATCACTGTTTTTAAAAAAGAACTTTAAAGGAGATCTAATGCAAATAATCCTCCAATTCTTTAATGAAATCAAAAGGAAAACAAGTCATTAGTGGAAGCAAGCATTACCCTGATTCCAAAACCAGAAAAGGACCCAACCAAAAATGAAATCAACAATCTAATTCTTTAATGAAAGTAGATGCAAAATCCCTAGGAAGATACTTGCAAACAGAATGCAGAAAAACATCAAAAAGAGCATACATCATAACCAAGTAGCATTCCAGGAATACAGGGAATGTTTAATATATGCAAATCAGTAAATGTAATGCTCCACATAAACAGCAGCAGGGACAAAAATCACATGATCATCTCAATGAATGCTGAAAAGCATTTGGCAAAATCCAGCATCCATTTATAAGAACCATGAAGAAGGGATAGAAGGCGTATATCTCAAACTGACAAAAGCCATCCATGACAAAACAAACATTATGTTAAATGGAGACATTTAACATTATGTTCCATCTAAAATTTGGAACAAGATAAGAATGTCTGCTATCACCACTCTTGTTCAATATAGTTTCAAAACATTAGTTGGAGCAATTAGGAATTAACAAGAAATAAAAGGGATATGGATGGGAAAGAAAGAAATTAAATTATTTGCAGATGACATGATCCTCTACATAGAGGACCCTGAAAACTTCACTAAAATGCACCGAGAATTAAAAACCAAATTCAGTAGTATAGCAGGATACTAAGTCTACACTCAAAAATCAATAACATTCCTGTGCATCAATAATAAACTCACTGGGCCAGCCAGATAGCTCAGTGGATTAAAGTACCTATTTAGGCAGATGCAGGGGCCGGGAGTTCAATCCCCAGCCTGCCATGCCGGCCCTGCCCCAGGGGTACACTGAGACGAAGAATGAGATTGGGCGTCGTGGTGCACACCTGTAATCCCAGCACTTGGGAGGCTGAAAAACAGGAAGGATCACTACAAGTCTGATCTGTGTAGTGAGACCCTGTAGTAAATACATTAAATAAATAAATAAACTAACTCACTGAGAAAAAAAAAATTAAGAAAACAATACCTTTTGCAATAGTACCAGGAAAGTTAAATACTCACAATTAACCAAGAAGTGAAAGACCTCTACAATGAAGGCTACAGGGCCCTGGAAAAATACATTAAAGATGACACCAGAGGGCCGGCCAAATAGCTGAGAAGGTGACTGAGACTACGGGCGCGGTGGCACATGCCTGTAATCCCAGCTCTTGGGAGGCCATAAACAAGAGAATCACTGGGTCTGATCTAGTAGTGAGACCCTGAACACCCTGTAGACCCTTCCCTAAAATATAGAGAAAAATAAATAAAAAAATTAAAATTAAAATTAAAATTAAAAAGAACAAAGTTGACACCACAAAATGGACAGAAAAAAAGCTTTAAGAACTAGAGAAAACAGCCAAATAGTTCAGGGGATTAAAGCACCTGCTTAGGCAGAGCACAGCAGCTGGGGTTCAATCCCCAGCATGCCGTGTTGGTTCTGCCCCTGGGGCTTGCTGAAATGCCAATTGAGACTGGGCATGGTGGCGCACCTATAATCCCAGCACTTGGGAGGCTGTAAACAGGAGAATCACTACAAGTCCAATCTACCTAGTGAGACCCTGTAGGCCCTGTACTAAATACATTTAAAAAAGAAAAAAAAAAAAAAAAAAAAAAAAAAAGCTTCTGCACAGCAAAGGAAACTAACACAGTGAAAAGACAACCTACAGAATGAGAAAAAGTTTTGCAAGTGAGTCTTCAGACGAGGGATTGTATCTAGAATACATAAGAACTCAAAAAAATAGACCTCCCCAAATCTAAATACACAATAAAAAATGAGCATCTGAGATGAACAGACACTTCTCAGATAAAGGTGTACAAATGCTCAATAAATACATGAAAAATGTTCAACACTGCTGGTCATGAAAGAAATGCAAATTAACTCTTCATTGCCTTGTGTTTCATTTTTGGATCATCCATAACAATGAAATATAATACATTTTTTTTCAAATTCTTGTTCCTTTAATTTTTGTAGGTAACATATATTAATTCCATGCAAAATTTCAAAAAATTACAATCTGGGGCCAGGGAGATGGCTCACTCCAGAAAGAATGACTACCTTTAAAAAAATCAGGTCAGGTGTGGTGGCACATGCCTGTAATCCAAGCAAGGAGTCTAATACAGGAGGATTTCTGTAAGTTCAAGGCCAGCTTGGGCTACATAGTGGGTTCAAGGCCAGATTGAACTACACAGCAGGATTCTGTCTTCAAAACAAAAAGGAAATCAAACAATAACAAATGCTGGAAGAGGTAAAAAAGAGCTCTGACCTAATGCCTGAAGGCCCAGATTACAACTGGGCTTTGAGATGACGACTGTCAAGATACATCCTCTCTGAGCCTCATGATCCTCACCTTTAAAAGAAAGCACAAATTCATGATCTCCCAGTGGCAGGGTTAAGTTCCCCTTCCTTAAGATTTCTGCTAGACACAGGATGCATATGGGCCCACCCTACCTTGTGCAGGATCCAGGATAAGAGTACAAAACAGGGTCTACTACTCATGTCAGAACATTTAAAAATTATAAATTAAGCTAACGAAATTGTTAAAGTATGTTCAGGTGGTACAGCACTTGCTGGCAAGCACAAGGTCCTAAGTTTGATTCCTGGTACCAAGCAAAGCAAGCAAGCATATTTAGTCCTTGTTCCTTGAACCATATACCTTCGTGACCTAATAGGCCTGGTTTACTCAGAACTTACAGACTGCTTGAGGTTCCACACTGACATCTAGCAAAAGAACTACCCCCAGGCCATGGCCCACCCTTCTCTTCTCAGTGCCAGGATCCAGGACACGTCACACATGCAGACTCTCCAGGCCCCATATCCAGACTCTGGACTCGTCATCCTCTAAATACCACAGGGCTGCCCTTAAGCCCTCAAGCTGAGCAGTGCACTCTTAACGCAGCAGTGCATCCTTGGGAGAGAGAACCCAGGCAAGATCCTGCACAGGCCATGGAAGGCCACCTGGGCACAAAGTTCCAAGATTACAGGTACCAGGTGCAAAATATAAAAGAAGAAAAAAAAAATTCAAGAGAAGGAGATGCAGACATGAAGGAGACACATGGGCCTCTGGCCCTGCAGGCGGCCGAGCAGCTGCCTGCTAAAGAACGGGGCCAGTGCAAGTCCTTCCTAGAGTGTGGTGGAAGCCACAGCCTTTCTTCATCACATCCCAGATACTATGAACATGAGGGTTCCATTATGTCAGTCTCTTTACATTTATGAAACTGCAACTTTACTATATTATTTTCTTGTTATGAACTTGTTTTATTTTTTCCATAATTTTTTAAGTGTTTTTTTTTAGTGCTAGGGATTAAGCACAGGGCCTTTCACACTGAGTATATCCCCTGCCCTTTTTTAGTTTTTCCATTTTAAAATAGGATCTCAATAAGTCACTATGTTGCCCAGTCTGGGCTCAAACTTACCATCCTTCTGTCTCAGCCTCCAAAATGCTGGGATGAGAGGCATACACCACCACACTGGGCTTAAAAGCTTATTAAGACTAAAACGTGAAAAGAAAAATGTCTTCTAAAAACCAAACTAGAGGGCTCCTAAGACTCGAATTCAGTCTTTATGAGTGTAACTGAACCTTCCCTGCAAATTCAATTCCTTAGCAACTAGAGCATTAAGCTCTTCCAGGTCAATGAGTCCAATGCCATATACAATTAATTAATTAATTAATTAATTTGGTAGGTTTTGCAGGAGAGCACAGCTTGCCTGGAATTCCAGGGCCAGCACAGCCTGTGGTACCAGGGATCAAACACAGGCCCTTATACTTGCCAAGCAAGAGCTTAGACTGTTGAGCTATCTGCCCAGCCCTGCAAATTTTTTTTTTTTTTTTTTTGTGGTGGTACCAGGGATTGAACTCAGGACCTTGTGCTTGCTATAGGCAAGTGCTTATTCTACTGAGCTATTTCCTTGGCACTCACAAATATTATTTAATGATGCTGACTCCATCTCATAAAGGAAGCAACAGGGAAATCTAGAATACCATGGAATCTATAACAGGCCAAATTCAGCTTCCTACAACTGAAAACCTTTCAGAGCTTCAGAAAAAGAGATAAAGTGACCCTGAAAACAGATGCTAGGAAGCGTCTCTCCCCACCTCCAAAAAACACAGGGTATCTTTTATTTGAGAAGTGGTTATTTAATCATTAAACTTATTCTGACCCTAACAGAAGTCACTTAAACTGAGAAAGGATGGAGCTTTTTTTTCCTTACTTATTTTAGAGGCTGGTAATAAGTGAATAATAAAGCACAATCTCTAAGGTTAGGTCCTAGAGAGGCTTGGGGGGAGCAGAACTGCCCTTTCTTTTCCGCCTTATGTCAAAGATCATTGTCCTCAGGATGTCAAGCATCCTGCTCCAGTGAAGGCTGCCCTGAGTGACACCTTTGGTCTATGTGTCCCAAGAATCCTCACTCTCTGACCCACTGGTGGGCTGGTCCTCCTCAACATCAGTAGCCTGAAGAATCCTCAGTAGTTTGAGCTCAGGCTTCCAGCTTATTTTGGCCCCACTTTCTGGAGGGTCTCCAGTGATCTCTTGGCTGACAACTGGCACTTCCAGTACTGTCTCCACTGACGCACCAACATCCTTACAAGGCAGTTCCATCGTAGACATTTTAGAACCTACAAGAAAGCCCAGCCATTAATTTCACCTGCAGGCTTCTCCCAAATAACTGACGAGTACAGACAGGGGAAATCTGGGCTATCTTCAGGATCTCTGTGAAGGATGAGGACTGTGCCCGCCAAGAGGAAGCCACCCTGGTTAACACAGGTTAGATCTGAAGGCCCCTCTGCCCTAATGACTTACTTTTCATATCAGGGAAGAAACTCAGGGACTTGTCAGAGTGATCCTTTCTTGATCTCTCCATGGAAACCTAAAATTTATTGGGGTAAGTATAAGAAAAAATAAATTAAGGCCTTAGAAAATTTAAAGTATTTTTTCCCCTAAAAGATGCTTTCTTGGAGAAATTAACATCTAAGACATAAAAATCTACCTTGTGGGACTGAAGAGAAGCTTCTACCACACATTTTCTGCCCTCTAGACTGTACAGATGAAGCCAGAACAAACGGTTGCCTGTTCCCAGCAGTCAACTAAGGGCAGCCCACCTGTACAGATGGCTGCCAACATCTCCTCCCCTTCCTAGAAGGGCATACAGTTCCTCCCATCAAAAGATGTAGTCTCCCTCACCCCTGTGAATTGGAGCTGGACTAGTGGCTTCTCTGACCAGTAAAGGTGACACTGTAAGTCATCTGAGTGACTGCCACACTGTCAAAAGTCTCAAACAAACCACATGCAGAGGTTTTATGGAGAAGAACCCTGGCAACGTGGCCAAGAGCCCTGCCCAGGTGCAGTGACTCAGGTAAGAGCAGGATGACTGTCCCACTGACACCAAGATGCATTAGAAATAATGAATCACTGTGGCTTGAGCTTTGGGGTGGTCCGTTTCACAGTAAGAGATGCTGAAACTAGGCCTTGGGAGAGGACCTGTAACTCACTTGTTTCAAGGTAGCTACTTCGGTCTTCATCTGCTGCTGTTGGGGCTGCATGTCACTTTCCTGATCAGAAAGAATTCTGTGACCTAGTGACGACAAAGTCAAGTCAATCCTCTTCCTATTGGCACCTCATATCTCAGCAGTAGTTCCTTATCTTCTTAACTGACACTTAACAAGTGCACATATTTATGAGACACTATGTGATCTTTTAAAACATGTACACATTGTATAAGGCCTTCTTCTGAGTTTGATTTGTGATTCTGTTCACCTGGGGCTATAACTACATGTATCACAGAATTGGATATAAAAATAAGGTATGTATTCTAAAATCCAGGATTCTGCCACACAAAAAGTAACTGCACCATAATTGGTCATTGGAGAAATGGAAATTAAAACAACACTGAGATTCCATCTCACCCCAGAAAGAATAGCTGTCATCAAGAAGTCAATCAATAACATGCTAGGAGGGGCTGGAGGGAAAAAGGAACTTTTCTCTACTGTTGGTGGGAGTTTATAGACTACTACAACCATTATGGAAATCAGTGTGGAGATTCCTCAAAAAGCTAGGAGTAGAAGTCTCATTCAGGGCCAGCGAGATAACTCAGAAGACTAAAGCACTGGTTTAAGCAAGCTTAGGCAAGCACAGGGACTGCAGTTCCATCCCTGGTACCACATGCTGTGCCAGCCCCACCCCCAGGGCAGGCAAGACAGCCAGAGTCCAGGTGTAGTGGCGTATGCCTGTAATCTCAGCGCTGGGGAGGCTGAAAACAGGAGGATCACTATGAGTCTGAGCTGCGTAGTGAGACCCTATAACAACCAAATACATTTAAAAAAAAAAAAAAAAAGTCCCATTCAATCCAGTTATTCTCCTCCTGGGTATTTTTCCAAATGAACTGAAAACATCACACCATAGTGATATATCTGCACCCAGACAGGAACCCAATTTGTTACAGCTAAATCTTGGAAACAACCTAAATGCCCATTAACTGAGGAATGGATTAAAAAGATGTGGTTCTTTACACAATGAAGTATTACTCAGCTATTAAAAATGATACATTTGAGGCTTTATAGGTAAATGGATACAACTAAAGACCATACTCTTAAGTGAAATACATCAGACCCCCATGTGTAAACATCATATAACGTAAGAACCTAAACAAGTAAACAAAATCTGAAAGTTACAATAGATATTGTGAAAGGGGAATAATCTGTTCAAAGGGAAGGAAAAATTGGGGTGAGCGAAAGGACTGGGCAGGGGAGAGAGATATGTATGCATGTATGCAGGATGGCTTGGATAGCTGTACTGTTCATTCTGCTGGTCTACAGAGGGGTGCAATCACTGCTCAATTTTTTTTTCTTGTCCTTTGTAATTCCTTACAACTTTTTTTTTTTTTTACTAATTTTGCATGCTTATACCTGGTAATATGAACAACTACTTTGAAGACAACAGTATGCAAAATAGCAATCATTGTCAAATTCCTATTGTTTTGTTTGGTGAAGCTCTGTATTGTTTCGTGTGTGTGTGTGTGTGTGTGTGTGTGTGTGTGTGTGTATTCTCTTTACATAATAAAAAAAAATTTAAAGAAGTAACTGCACATAGCAGCAGTTAAAGAAACTGCAACTCTACCTTTCAGATTATGAATATTTTTACCAGACTGTGACTTACCTTCTCATATCATTCCTGACATACCCACAATGGTCGAAAGGTTCTAATTTTCTATTTCTTTTGCATCAGCTGTTTCTCTAACAAATCCCTAGGTGCATTTATCCTCTTCTTTTGAACCGCTTTTTCTCTAAACATCTTGCAAGCTGCCACCAGAGGTATTACGCTAAAAGGCAACAACTTTGTTGGCTGCCTACCACCTAAGGTTCTTACCTAAGCTGCATTCTGCAAGCACTGGGAAGCTTTACAACACAGCATGAGACTAGGCGTGGTGGCACACACCTGTCATCGCAGCTCGGGAGGATCACCCATGAGCACACGGCCTGTCTGAGCTATAATAGTATGGCCACTACGTAGCCTAACCTCCACAGCAAGACCTTGTCTTAAAAGAAAAAAAAAAAAAAAAAAGCACAACCTGGTTCCAAACACCAGAAATTCTGAACTATAGGTTTGGGATGCAACCTGGCCATGAAGAGTTTTAAAAATTTCTCAGTCTGTCTATGCACAGCCAAGACAGAATACCACTGACCTGGAGATTTGAGCCTAATGGTCTTCACAGCTTCCACGGGCCCCTACCCTCCTCTTTGGCCTGATCCACCACTCTCCTTTAAATATCAACAGACACACTGAACTGCTCAGTATTTCTAAGCAGCCATGCTCTTCCACAATGCCTCTACAGGATATTGCCACCTCTGAGAATTCCTTTCCTTGCCAGGGGAAAAAAAAAAAAACCACATATTTAAGATGCAATTTTAAGACATCACCTTCTCTTTATTTTCTTTTTATTTTTTTATGTGTGTGTGTGTGTGTGTGTGTGTGTGTGTGTGTGTGGCCAGCTCAGCCCACCAGGGGGCGGGCTGGCTGGCATGTGGTGCTGGGGGATTTAACTGCGGTCCCTGTAGCTTTGCTAAGCTTGTTCTAAGTAGGTGCTTTAGACCACTGAGCCATCTCACCAGCCCCATCACCTTCTCTTTAAAGCCTTTATCACTCAGTGAGGACAATTCACCGCTCCAAGACCATGAATCCAAGGCGACCCTGTGATACCTGCAACACAGCTCCTCCGGGAGGCACTAGGGAAAGGCACCAGCATAGAGCTCAGGCAGACTGTAGTGATCACCCTGAAGGGCTAACCTTGCACAAGTCACCTCCTATCCCAGGCCACAGCCCTGATTCTTCTACCTGCCATGTTAGAACCCCTAGGGATGAAGCTTAGTGCAAAAGCCCTGGGTTCAATATAATAAAAATATTAATTCTGGGGGCCTGACAAAGGCAGGTCTTGAAATGGAAAAAGCACATTTCACTTTTCCTGCTGCCATCTATGTTCTGGGATTTTAGTACTCAAGCAAGCGCAAACAGTACTGTCCTTACCATGGATAGGGCTGCAAGCACTGGCTTCAAGCATTTCCCTTGAATGTTTATGCGGAGTACTCTGGATCCACTGATCGTTCTTGGCTTTCTTTTTAGCCTCCTGAAATACGTAAGAGGAGGAACTGAGTCGGGACTTTTGGAAGTGAAGAATATTTTTGCAAAAGGAGTAGAAAAAGAACTTAACACCTATGACCAGACCAAACGCAAAAAGAACCCCACCCCTCAAACTTTCCTTCCCACCCAAGCTGCACCCAACTTCTCCAACCTGGTGAGTCCCAGAGCTCCCTCATAGCACTCTACCTGTTCCTGAGTAGAGGTTTTCTCCTTCCTCTCCTGAGGCTGCTGCCACTGCTGCTGCTTCCTGTAACCTGGTGACCAGAGATCAGGCTGATCCTCTTTGCACTGACAGCCCCCACTCCTGCTGGGCTGCCTGCTGAAAGCTGCCCCCACCACAGTGATTCTCCCACAAGGGTCAGGACTAAACCCAGCAGCTGTACTCTATAGGTGACCCCATATGACTATGACCACAAACAACAAATCAGAACCAAAATAAACTAAGAGAAATGTGGGTGCCTGGAAATAAAGCAGTGACAGGAAAGTTACCTTCTTTCTTCTTCAGATGTTCAGGATATCGCAACACTGGTCTCTGGAGAAAAAATAATGAAAAAGGAGGAAAGGGTGGGAAGAAAGATGGAGGGGAGGAAAAGAGGAAAAAGAAGGGGAAGAGAAAAAAACAAGGGGGAAGAGAAAGAAGACAAGGAAAAGAAAAGGAGAAGGGGAGAAGAAGAGAAGCACTTCTGTAGGCCTTTCCTTTTCCCCAGATGTACTTGTTCATCTATTCAGCAAGCACACTGGGAAGTCAGCGTTTTACAGCACTGTGCAGGATGGGAAAGGTGTGGGAAGCAAAGTGAAGAAGAAACAGTCACCGCTCTGCTTATACGCTTCCCCTCACATTCACTGGCTTTCACCTACAAGCAGCCCAAGCTCCTGTGGGACTGGGGCCAAAGTGGCAGCATAGAAGAAAAAGAAAGAAGAGAAAGTCACTCTTCAGCCCTAAGAAGGGAAGGGCTGGATTTTCACATAGGGTCCTTCTTCCAAAGCACCCTGGCTCTTACTTGCAGGGTGAGGCGGTGTATCGTTAGAAACATCTTAGAAGAAATCTCGCTGTCAGGTTGGGTCTTTTCCAGAGGAAGGCTCTTTTTCATCCTATCCAATTGTATTTTCATCTCTGAGCAAGGCATGTTTTTCTCTCCATGCAGCAAAAGCCTGAAGAAGACAGAGACAGCCAGTCAGTAGAAGCTGTCCTTGAGGTGAGAGACGAGAAGGGCTCTAGATGTGAAGACATTTCTGCTGTGGCTCTGGAACAGCCTCTGCCAAAAGTTGCTTACTGGGGGACACCTTTTAGATGCCGTTACCATAACCGCAGGTGTACTTAGGAAGTGCTCCTTCTGCAAGGTTTTATATCCCTGAACCCTCCCATCACTCTGAGGGCAAGTATCAGGATCCTCACTTTCTAAATGAGGGAAGTGAAACTTAAAGAAGCTAAATAATTACCAAAATTCACAAAGGCAGTTAAGTTACAACACAAAATCCACAGGTTGTCATACTGTAAATCAATATACCATTCTGCATCCCACTTATCCATAATTTATCTATAAAAACAATAGTGCCTAACTGCTGGCAAGAATTAAAATGAGAATCCATATACAGTGTGCTTAGCTGAGGGCCTGCCAGATGGTAAGGTCTGGCTGCGTGGCCGTGGTAATTACTGTCATCCCTGCCTGTTGGAAAGGCTAAGAATGCACATAAGCAGGGTCCCAGTTTGCCATGCCCTGCTCAGACAGTGCTTGGCTCCATCCCAGCTTCAGGGCAAAGCAGGGGCCTGGGTCTCCCCTGCACATCCATGATACTCACTCCTTCAACAGATCCTGAGGTAGCATGTTGTCGTGGGCCCAGACAGGTACTGCTGAACTTAACTGCTCAGATGTAAGTAACACTGGGGAGGAGGAAGGCACAAGCCCCTCTGCGGTTCTCGACTCTGCCTCTGTGAACTGTCGTCGTTCAGGGGAACACAGAGATGCCCCAGTTTTCTGGAAGTGAAAAAAATGCAACAAACTCTCAGTAGTCTTTGAACCCATTTCTTCCCATCAACATTCCAGCCGCCCAATACAACCCTTCCTGTGCAATTGCTTGTCTCCAGAGCCACTCCACCATTCCCAGCTTCCTTCCAAATAATGGCTGGCCACCCGCAGGGTCCCAACCCTATTGTATTTAGATCAAACAGGCATTAACTGTAGTTTTGTTTGCATTATTTTCCCAGAGAGGTCATTCAGCATTCACTCAATCTATCTATATGCCCAGCACAGAGACAAGGATAGGGGTTTCACAATGAATGAAATGGATCAAGACAGTCAATGTGCCTGCCTGGCAAGCACAACTACCCAGGTTTGAGCCCTGGTACTGCATGCTATTCCAGCCCTGGAACCCCAGGGGCACCATGCCAGCCCCAAAACCCATCCTGGGGAGGCTGAGACAAGAGGATCACTAGAAGTCCAAGCTGCGTAGTGAGACCCTGTACCAAACAAACAAAGACTTCTTAAAAAGACACTATTCTCATCAACATGGTACTCTGCCAACTCTGAAATTTATCCAAAAATCACGTAAGTGACTGAATGAATTTTTGTTGCAGTTTTTATTGCTGTTGTTGATGCTGCTGCTGCTGTTAATATTGTTTTAGTTGTTATTGTTCTTCTCTTCCTTCTCCTCCTCCTCTTCCTCCTCCCCTTGTTCCTCTGCTTTGTATATGTGTATGTGTGTACATGATAGGCATATGCTCTAAGGCTGAACTAATTCCCAGCCTTTTTTATTTTATTCTGAGGCAAGTTCTCACCAAGTTTCTCAGGCTGGTCTGGAACTTGCAATCCTCCTTCCTCAGCCTCCTGAATAGCTGGGATTATAAACATACACTATGATGCCCACCTGGGGATTAATTTTTAACTAACTAAAAATTTCCGCTGAATACCCAACAGCTCCTCCTGTCATCTCTTCAAGGTGTTCTCCTCCTCTCTACATGGTACAGATAGGAAAAAGGAGTCTGAAGAGGCCTGTAATTATTCCTAAGGAAGGGTTTTCATGTAGAAAAAAAGGTTGAAAGTAGGAAAGATCTGAAAGAAAAAAGTATTCCCTACACAGTATTGATAAAGGTTTGGGCAAAACACTGAACTTACCCCTAGTAATTCCTTTTTCTTTTTCTCATATTGGCTGGGTAAAGATGTCTTCTTAGGTAAGCTTGAAATAAAAATAACCACAACTTAGGGACCAGGGAGATAGCTCAGTGGAGTGAGTGCTTGCCTGGCAAGTGCAAGGTCCTGAGTTTGATCCCTGGTACCACAAACAAACAAAAATAAGTAAAATAAATAAAATAAATCTTAGCCACAACTTATTCCCAGACGTATTTTAAAAAAAGCCATGGGTATTTATGAATAATGAATGTAAAGATTCCTATCTCTCTTATTAATATTCGAAGGTGGTTACTTGGGACCCCAGGAATACCTGCCACCCAGGTATCTGCTACTAAAAAGACCCCTCAAAAAACACAAATACAATAAAATAATAAGACCCCTCCAGCTCCCATCTCAATTTAGTTACCATGTATTCTCTGGGGCAGTCTAGTAACTTACTTTCAGAGCATGACTATAAACTAGTAATTACATAATTAAGTGTGGCTGTCTGTCATATCTGACTCTCCCATGTAATTCTTAGAGAACAGGGACCAACTCTACTTGGTTCTCCACTAGATCCTCACTGCTTAGCACAAAAAAGATATTCAACAAGTACTTTTGGGGGCTGGTAAGATGGCTCAGTGGTCTAAAGCACCTACTTAGAACAAGCTTATCAAAGCACAGGGACCGCAGTTCAATCCCCCAGCACCACATGCCAGCCAACCCCACCCCCTGGTGGGCTGAGCTGGCCACACACACACACACACACACACACATATAAATTAAAAAATAAATAAATAAAGTAAAATAAAAGTAGTACTTTTGGGCTGGCAAGATAGCTCAGCAGACTAAGTGCCTGCTTAGGCAAGCACAGGGGCCAGGGTTCAATCCCTGGTACTATATGCCATGCTGGGCCCACCCCCCAGGCATGCTGAGGCAGCCAAAGAGATCAGGCATGGTGGCACATGCCTATAATCGCAGCACTGGGGAGGCTGACAACAGGAGGATCACTACAAATCTGAGCTGCCTAGTGAGACCCTGGAACAAATACATTTTTTTTAAAAAAGTACTTTTTACTCTGTTTGCTCCTCTTCTTTCTCACTTGGGGAGTGGATATGAAAGTTGGAGCTTTGGCAGCCAACCTAGACCTTAAAAGTACCAACAAAGTACCTTAGAGGATGGACGTCTTGGGCTAAGGAAAATGGCCCAGAAAGCTGGAAGAGCTCTGGTTTCTGTCTGCCTCACAGAGCTGACATTCTGCTTCCAGCCTACCCACTTTGGGGCTTCTTTTATATGAAAGAAAATAAAGTCCTCTGGGTTTTCTTGTTTACCCTATATTTAAGCACACAAAAATACAGTCACATGATCATTTGCTGAAAAAAAGAAGGAAAAAAATCAGGAGGTCACAACAAGATGGCCAAGTAAAAAGAAACTTGGCCAGGCATAGTGGTGCATGCCCATAATCCCAGGATTCAGGAGGCTGAGGTGGGAGGATTATTGCATGTTCAAGGCCAGCCTGGGCTACACAATGAGCTCAAGGCCAGCCTGAACTACATAGTAAGACTCTGTCTCAAAAAGAGAAAAATAAATAAAAGTAAAAGTAAAAAGAAATTCAATCACTTAACAAAAGTCTGAAAGACTCAGCAATCAGAAAAGAGAAACCAAACTCTTTCCCTATGGTTTCCTACATTAGCAGGCCTTTGGGCCTTCACCAAGAGATCTGTGTCGTGCCCCAGTCGGTACACAAATCCCATATGTTATTTACTGTATACCACTGTCACAAGCTATGGTGATCAGAGGTTCATTCATATGCTTTACTGGGAGCTCTTTTACTTCTTACTGATGGCTAAGGAAAACTAATAAAGGAAGGGTAAGTCTTAATCAGACCTTACCAATATATTGGGCCCTATCTTACATGCTGTTTACTGCCCTGTGGACTTTAATGCAGAGATGCTCCATGGTATTAATCTCAAAGTGCATTCAAATAGAATTCCAAACTGGGCATCACAGTGCATGAGCGCAGACCCAACACTCAGAGGTTACGGCAAGAGGGCTCCAAGTCTGAGGCCAGCCCAGGGTACATGAGGAGTTCAAGGCCAGCCTAGAGTCCATGGCAAGATCAAATACCAAAAAGAAAGTGTGACTACACAATCTGTAAAACCAGAATTCAGAAGGTTTGGATTCTAGGCTAGTCAGAGGTAGATGATGAGACCTTTGTCTCAAAAAAGACAAAAAATAAATAAATTAAAAGAATTCCAGCATCATAAAAGAAACAAGTGGCCAGAACCACTTTCTCTGCTTGTCTTTCCATTACTTGCAGGCCTGTGGGAATTTACAGAATATAAGGATAAAGGCTCCCCAAGTTCTAGACATGACACTTACCATACATTCTTTTTTGATTCTTCTGGGATCCAGATGACAACCATATTTCTAACATCTTCAGAGCAAGGAAGTTGTGTCTCATTCAAATTCAATACTGAAAGCTAAAAGAAAAATATAAATCCTACATATATTTTAGGTGCCAGGTTGCTACCAGTACTAGTACCAGTTCAGTTCCAGCACCAGACTAAGCATTCAATTATCATGTTAACCAAAAGGACTGATGGTTCAGAAGATGATACAAAGATTTTTTCCATCCCAAAATCATCTGCATAATATTCTCCCCCCAAAATAAACTATATCAGGTATTAGTAGGTACTCTACAAGAGTGAGCATCTATAAATAGTGTCCCCTGCTTCCCCATGACATTAGAGTTAAGTTTATCAATCCCCAACCCTATGGCATAGAAGGATGCCTTGAGGTCTTGCTAGGGGAGCACAATTCATTGTGCTGGCTCTACTTCAAAGACATAGATCCCTTACACATAATACAGTCAGGAGTCTGGGAATCAGAACAGGAAGAGAACTGAAGGAAAATCAAGTTTCCTACTTTTATTTATAGTCTGTCTATAATTATAAGCATTTATATAAAAGTTAAAAATATTGTCTTCTCACATTTAACTCTCTAGAATCCTACAATAGTAGAGTTTAAGAGAACCTTATAGGGGCTGGTGAGATGGTTCAGTGGTCTAAAGCACCTACTTAGAACAAGCTTAGCAAAGCACAGGGACCGCGGTTCAATCCCCCAGCACCACATGCCAG